AAAAAAAAAAAAGAAACAACTTTGCTGACAATTACATATTTTTTATTTTGTCAGAAGAGTCCTCCGAATATTTTGGTCTTACATTAGTTTCGATATCTTTTTGGAATATGAACAAAGAAGAGAAGATAGGCTCATTACATTCATAAAAAAAGATATGAGAATTTACCTTAAGTAATTGAGCGTGAGAGCCAAATGAATCGAAAGATTCATGTTTGGTTCGGGAAGGGATTATGGAATTTTGGAAAGGAATGGAAAAATAATCTACTTTCATTAAGTGATTTATTAGATAATCGAAAACAGAGGATCTTGAATACTATTCGAAATTCAGAAGAACTGTGTGGAGGGGCTATTGAACTAAAGGAGAATCAGAAATTACAACTAACTACATAAAACTCACATTAAGAAGTAGTAAAGAGCAGTGTTAGTTTGAGTTAAAGACAAGAAGCCAACACACACAAGAAACAACACACTTGTCATGGATCTCCAGGTTATCCTCGATACTAAAGCAAAGCTATGGTTGAAAATGTAGTTGCACAATGCATGTATCTCTCTATTTTGCCTCACTGAAGCGTAACAGCTGAAAAGGAACATGATAATTACACATCACAAGTTACATTTTAGTCAGCTAAAAAACAGTTCTACAGGTGAAAGAGATTGCACGTCATTCCTTCTTCAGAAGTCCTAGCTCAACCAAATTATCAACCAATCAAGCACCTCCATCCCAAACTAGTCGGATTTGATTATATAATCTTCTATAGCATTCCGTTCAACCACTGAGCATTGGATTAATTTTATCTTCCATAACACCATCACATAAGCAAATTAACACAGCAATAAGCTGTACTCATTCAATTTAAACATGTTTAAGCAAACAATGACCTATCATATCCTCTGCTCTCAACTTGAACCATACATGTATGCGCGTGGTTGAACAATTTCCTTTTCTTTTTTTTTTTAACAAAAATCACATTTTTCTAGAAAGTTCGAACTCAGCGTCACATTAAAATAGTGGCTGCAGTAGCACTAAGCCTCCAATAAATCTAATCAAACAATAGCATGCATAAATACACCAAAAAATTCAAACTTGAATGTAATTGAAAAAGAAAAAATTGAATACCTAGAAGTAATATACGAAGGAACCGGAGTAGAAATTCCTTCGGCGAGTATTTTCTGAGCATTTTGGTAATGGGAAATTGCATCATCAGCCAATCCCCATTCTTCAGCCCTAACGGCTTTGTCGATCTCTTCTTTGGCCAAATCAAAGTAGCCTTTCAGCTTATACGCCGCCCGTTCGTTGCCGGTGGCAACGCCGTCCATCGTCCGATCGGCGGAGTTTAGGTTACGATCGTTCTGAGGCGAAGACGATGATGGAGTGTCGGAAAAGATCGAGCTTAGGGTTTCAGCCAGATCTTTGAGAAAACTCATATCTGAGAAATTTGTATTAATGGAGAATTGGAAAATTTAGCATGTTAAGGCCCTGTTTGGTATGATGTAAAAAAATATTCTTGAAAATATTGTGAATATTAAGGGATGATTAATGGAGAACGTACCATTTTCATATTTGACTTTTAAGAGATTCTGTTTGTAGCTTGAAAATCAAGTTCCCACTAGACTCTTCTTCGCAAGCATTCTTTTTCTTGTGAAGAGAAGAAGCTCCAGCTCTTTATTTTTTCCAATTTCTCAAGATGTGCGAAATTTTTTAATATAAATAATTTTTTTATGTACATCTTTTTATATTATTAAATTAATCTACTATATTTATTCCAATGATTTACCATCAACCTATCGCAATTTTGCTTACTTTGTTTTGCAAAGATCATGTATCCCATGATTTTACTAATCCATGAAAAATTGTGAAGTGATTTTACTGCTCAACGTAATTAGGATTAATTTAATATAGTTACTCGTTCTTTAAAATATAGAAAAATGCTAATCAAATCATCGAAAAACACATGACCCAAGCTTAGAGCCAATTGGTAAAACTAAATGAAACACGTCTGTAAGGACTAAAATTCGCTCCTGAAAAATAATAATCACAAGAAATATAGCGACAAATATTATATTCAATTTCAAGTGATTGGGTTACAATCTCTAAAATATCTCTAAATCTAAAGAGATGTAGTCCTCTGATTCTTCTCCTCACGGATGATGGTTCAAGAGCTTGAAAGCTTGATTTTGAACTTGACGGATTTCAGATTTGTAGTACGTCATGAACAATTTGAAGCTCTTCACGAACCAGGATTTGATGTTGGGTTATCACGAACGGAAGATTTGAAGCGACGACGATTGCAGATATGGATGAAGACCTGGATGTTATTCTTCAGAGTTTCTTTAGTCTTTCCTTCTGCTTACTTGCTTGTTTCTTAGCCTTCTACTTTGACCCCTTTATATATGTGTGGGGTGGAGTAGTCTCCAAGAAAATCCTAGTGGATTATTGGGCTTGAGGATTATGGGCCGACCCATTTAATAGAAGACCAATTGACGGGCTAGCCCAATAAAATATTGGACTTTTATTTAAATCAATTAAATTAGATTTAAATAATTGACCCGATCATACTAGCTCATAATATTTACTTTGACTAGTATATATTTAATTTATGATAAAATCCAAATTTCTTATGAATTTAAATTTAGTAAAATTTTAGTTGTCTACAACGTCATATGGATTTGTTACTGTCAAGAATTTGCATAGTTACCTGGGGGTCGTTTTCTTTCTTTTCAATATTTTCTTTTCAAGAAAACAATTTCTGGAGCAACTCTAAGTTTCAAGAATCAGTAGCCTCAGTTATTCATGCATAGAAACAAAAGAAATCACCCTCAAACCTGTAGCCCCTTAAGTGGAACTCACTGTCGTGTATTACAATGGATAACTAACTTCTCAATTTACCAATTAGTCCTATGATCATGTTTTAACAAATAAAGACATTAACTGTATCTCCTGAAAATTTATATGTCATTTTGATTTGTTCTATTGAAAGGGAGCCTTGGCGTAACTGGTAAAGTTGTTGTCATGTGACCGGGAGGTCACGAGTTCGAGCCACGAAAACAGCCTCTTGCAGAAATAAGACTGCGTATATTATAGACCCTTGTGGTCCGGCCAACCCTTCCCCGGACCCCGCATAGCCGGAGTTTAATGCACCGGGTGCACCGGGCTGCCCTTTGATTTTGATTTGTTCTATTCCCCTGGTTTCTTGCATCGCATCCTTATCCTTTCCTCCTCTTTGATCAGCATTTATATCCTTTGCCTTGAATTTCCTCTTGTCAAGTCTACTTGAACTGCAAAGATGAAGTTTTTGATTGGAGAACAAAACCATGTGAAGAGACAGTTGCAAAAGGTTTGGATGTATGAAGAGTATGGTCCTAAAGAAGTACTCAAACTAGAAGACTTCCCAATTCCTTGTCCTCAACATGATCAACTACTTGTTCAAGTCAAAGCTGCAGCCTTGAATCCCATTGATTTCAAGTTCCGCCAACGACCCGTTGTCCCTTTAGATTTTCCTGTGAGTATATACTTTTACTTATTATCACAAGCACAAGAATCATTCCCTCCAGCCTTAAAATAGCTTGAGAGGACCATCACTTGCATGCGCCACGACTCTTTTGACTTTTCATCCAAAAACTACATGTGTATAAGAGCCTTTAGACAGCTAGAGGCGGTTCCAGAATATAAACTTGATCGGTTCCTTTTATGTTCTTACCACTGAATCCATTGCACTTTTAAAATTATATGTCCATAATTTATTATTTATTGAAATTTAGGGATTCTTCACAATATTTACGTAAGTTTTGCGGAAAAAATGTTGGATTCAGTTGAACTTATAGAACACATATTGCGTTCAACCTCTGTTGACAACATATCATAATGAATATCAGGATGCTTGTGCAGTTTGTTCCAGGTTGTGACATGGCAGGTATTGTGGTGGGGAAAGGAGATTCTGTATCAAGATTTGATATAGGTGATGAGGTTTATGGGAACATTCAAAATTTCACCACTGATAAAATAAAGCAGTTGGGAACATTAGCAGAGTTTATTGTAGTTGAGGAGGAATTAGTGGCAAGGAAGCCAAAAAATGTTTCATTTGAGGAAGCAGCAAGCTTGCCTGTGGCATTTCAAACTGCAATTGAAGGCTTCAAAACAGCAGGTTTTAAGAAGGGGCAGAGTGTTTTTATAGTTGGAGGTGCTGGTGGTGTTGGATCTTTGGTTATTCAACTGGCCAAGCAATTTTATGGAGCTTCTTTTGTTACAGCAACTACTAGTACTACCAAAGTGGAGTTCGTCAAAAGTTTGGGAGCTGACAAAGTTGTTGACTATACAAAAACTAGATATGAAGACATTAAGGAGAAATATGACCTTGTCTATGACACCATAGGTAACTTCTTCTTTTTTTAAGAGGGGAAACCCGCAGCCGCTACAATCTCTGTCACAGTCTCTGCCCTTCGGGTGAGCACTTTATGCGCACTGGGTAAACCTCCCATGTATAATAGCCTGCAAACCACACAGGGGATGTAAACCGCACTAGGCAAGCCCTATGCGACAGGCTCAACCCAGAAAGCATTGAGGGGGGATTCGATCCCAGGTCATCCGTATAGATGACCACCCTCCAAACCTGGGCAACCTCGAAGGGTTACAATAGGTAACTTTTGTTCATGTTCTTTTTTTCCATTTCAACTATCTTCTACTAATGTTTTTTCTACGTGCAGTTTTTTCTCATCAAAATTATAAACTTGTTATTAGGTGACTCCAAGAATTCCTATGTGGTGGCCAAAGAAGAAGCACCAATAATTGACATAACATGGCCTCCTTCAAATCCTAGAGCAATGCATTCAAACTTGACAGTATGTGGAGAAGTTTTTGAGAAGATTGAACCATATCTAGAGAATGGAAAGCTAAAGGCAACAATTGATCCTGCAAGTCCATTTCACTTCTATGAAGTTATCGAGGCGTTTAGTTACTTAGAAACTGGAAGAGCCAGAGGAAAAGTAGTGATCTCTCCCTTTCCCTCGACACATGAGGATGAATTCTTGTAATGCCAATGGCCTATCTGGAAACTCCAATAAGCCTTGAACAAAATAATCAGCAAAAAATGAGTTAATTCCAAGCAACTTCTTAATGTGATTACCATGTGATGAATGTAATGACTATTTCTAATGCCAATAAAACTATAAATATAGTACACCCTGTAGGATTGCAGTACTTTAATTCTTTAAGTCTTAATTTGAGATTATATAATGAAATAACATTCTTTAAGGTCAATAAACTATAAATATAATGAAGATTCATTAAGTTTTAATTTGAGATTATTCGATTGTTGGGAGTGCTAGACATGAAACATTTGCATCTTCTAAAGTATGGAATCTCTTTCAATCTATCATAATTATGAATATATTTTCCGCTTTTGAAAGATTGATAAGGAGGAATTATACTCTTTAGGTTTATGTTGGAGAGCAAGAAGAGTCCAGAGAAAATGACCGATCAGCATCTCATAGATTTTTTATTCAATCTATAGTTCTTGCTCGAGAGTAAAGATCGTATATATTGCTAATATTGTTTCATGGTCTTTTACATGTTTCGCGAGAATCCGTTTATCCAAGAAAAGGTTGTAAAGAAAACAAAGAAGTCATCCATAAACATGAAGGGATATGGCAAAAATGTGGAAGATCAAGTACTATAGAAGTACCCTTTGTGAAAAAAATAATCTTCGGGCGACATCGACAGAAACTTTGATGAGCTATGGCCTGCGGTCCCAGTGGTACAATTTCAGTCCAAGTAACTTCAACTTTTCATAATGGAAACCAAATTACTCTATTGTTGTTTTCCATGGATAATATTCTTCAGAGCTCCATGATCTTCACAACAGCCACCATTCTCTCACTTGTTTTTTGTGGGTTCATAGTTCATATTCTGACCAGAAAACTACTAGGGAAACATGGCAAAAAGAGATTAATTATACCATCCAATTGGTGGCACCGTTTTCGATCAGCTTACATGACTGATCTAGCATACAAGCACAGGACTTAGAGATTAATTTGTTCTTCCAGGAATGAGATTTATACTGCTGACCCTGCTAACGTTGAGTACATTCTCAAAATCAACTTTCACAATTATGGCAAGGTACACCATTTTCTTAAAATCCAAAAAAAAAAAACCTTTTTTATGTTGGGACTTTATTTTATTTTATTCAGTAATTTAATTTTGTATATAGGAGAAATACCCATACCGAGTACAACTGATGATTCGGAGTTTCGTTTTCGTCGTACTATTTATGTTATAATATCATCACCAACTTTAGTTAATAGTAGCATAATTCAAGTTGTTAGCATCCAATTGTATTCAACAACTTATACAATATAGGGCTATATGAGAGTTTAAAAGTCACCTTGCTTAGATCTGTCTACCTATAGGTTCTCAATTATTTACACTACATAATTAAGGTTTTCAGTGAGAATGTTCATGTTAAGTCGCCGCAATAAGTGTCGTTGTTTTGAGTAGCGACATTAGCATATCTGTTCTGTTTAGTCGCCGCAAAAGCTAATAACAAAACAAACTAGCTTTTGTGGCGATAAAGCTCGCCACAAAATATCGCCACTGAAAACCGTTTGGGTATTTCATCCATAGCAGTTCATTGAGTTCTTTTTCCCCTATATCAAACACCCTTTCCTATCTATTGACGGAAAGATATTCATCAAATACTGGAATTTTCTCTTTTTCGTGGATTTTTATCTGGAGATTCTTTTGACCTTTTCTCCCTTGTAACTGTAATTGTATCTCGATTCCTGTATAAACATATACCCCTGAATTTGCAATCGTCTACGATACATGATGGTATAATTCTTCGGGGATGGTATAACTACAGCAATCTAAAGCACCTGTTAGGGGATGGGATATTCACAGTTGATGGTGATAAGTGGAGGGAACAGAGGAAACTATCGAGCTCAACAAGGGTTCTGAGGGATTTCAGTAGTGTGGTCTTCAGGAAAAATGAGGCAAAGCTTGCCAACATTTTGTTTGAAGTTAAAAGTTCAGACAAGATGGTTGATATGTTGATATCTTTTGGAAGATTAAAAGAGCTCTCAATATATATAGGATCAGAAGCCAAGTTACCGGATAATATAAGAACTATTGATGCGTTTGTTTATAAGCTGATCCCCAGAAAAAACGAGCAGATGAGTAAACCAGAAGCTAATTTATCTGTAGGTGAACCACTTATTAGCTTCTACTTTTTTTAAAAGAAAATGTAGATGCTTAAAACCTTATACCTTTTGCCAGTTGCAGCGGAAGAAAGAAGACATTTTGTCAAGGTTTCTGCAATTACCTGGAGCAGATCCAAGGTACATTTGCGTGACATTATATTAAACTTAATTATAGCAGGCAAAGATACAACATGCAGCAACCATCCTTTCTTGGGTTATATATATATATATANGTAACTGAGAAACAAGATGCAACAGATATAATGGATTTTGCTGCCAATTTGAGTGAAGGCACCTTTGAAAAGATGCAATATCTTCATGCAGCTTTGGCAGAGACTCTTAGGCTCTAACCTCCACTTCTCTACATTATCATACTGCAGTTTCTCTGCTGTGTTATTACGTTACTTTGATTTCAGGTTGAGTGATGACAAGAAGACTGTGTCAACTACAGGACACTGATTAATCTTCACATCGACGGCGGACTTCATGTTCGTGTCTTTCACAGATAAGGCCATTAGAAGGGGTTTCCATAAATATGTACAGAACACTACTGTATTGGTCCAATGATACCCTTACTTCAACTTTGCTCTGTGTTTTTATCGCGTGTTGGATTGGGTTTTGCGTTGATATACCCACTCCCTGCTCTTCCCCAACCCCTTCTTATAAGAAAACTAGTGAATTATAAGATACAATCATAGATTGAAATGATCTTTTCTGGAAATGCAGTTGGGATAGAAGAGATAAATAATTTCTTATATATACATACATAAATTAATTCCAGAGTTGGTTAAATCATCAATAAATATTTTCAGTGATATCCGTAGTGCGATTCTATACTTCAAGCAGCATACATACTGTTGCACTTGGTTATGAGGGCATTCCTCAAACAATATATGTAAAGCTGATATGTAACCAAATTAAATTAGCTCTTTTGTTTCTAAAAAGTGAAAAGAAAGTTTCAATAAAAATTGTAATATTATTTTCAGAAATAATAATAATACATTCCTCTATTTTATGTTTTATGCATACTAGTTTTAGTGTACGTGCGTTGCGCGTGTGTTTCGCGTCAATCAGTATAAAGTATATAAAAAAAAAATATTGTATACATTGAAACAATATCTTCTTAACATACAAAGATGATGAATATAGTTGAATTAGTTATATAATATTTATAATTATAATATCTTGTGAAATAAGAAATAAATATGTCATGTTGTTGTATCTCGTCTAACATCTCTTTGGAATACAAGTAATACAAATTTCGACTATCAATTAGACCAATGATAGTATAATATTTTTATTTCATCAAAATATTATAAACTTTAACTACTAGATATAAATATTTTACCTAATTGTTTTTTCGGTAGATGCGACGCTACATCCCCAAATATATCTACTAAATAATGCAATTTTTCATAAAACTCCAGTCACCTAATTAGGCCAGTCTTCGGGAAGCTGTTCTTTAAACAAATTTTCTTAGATCTTCATCCAATAATATTAATTAAATAGTTATTATTTTTCTTTAAAATGTTAAAAGCTTGAAAAATTAAATAATAAGTTAAATTTTTGAAAAGAAGATCTAGTGCATTCCTAAGATCACCCTACAAGGAAATAACAACATTCTTTTTTATTAATTATCAAATAATGAATATAAATAATGAAGCTTTAAAATAAATGGTAACTTTTTCACAATTAATTTATCTTCAAGATTCTAATACAAATATTTTATGTAGAAAAATGAAGGTAAGCTACTTTTTATAACAAAAGAGATTACAAATTTAAAAACTTGCTCAACATAAAAAATATGTGGTATATGGTAGAGAATTATATATGTAAAGTTTGATTTTTCTAATTTAGAGGAAGGTTTAGTAAACAATATTTATTACGATTATAGATTATAAGTAAGTATAATTAGTTTTCCATTTTCATGAAGAATAATAAATAAAACCTAATTTAATTTGTCAACATTCTAAAATAAATATTTTATGGAGGAAATAAATTATTTTTATATAACAAAGAGATTAAAAGTTTTAAAATATGTTCTGATTTTTTTTCTTGGGTTGAGTCTTTTTTCCCCCTTGAAATCTATATGTTTATTTCTTACATGGTGGTAATATTTGTTTTTTGTAACCAAGGTACATAATATTCATTCATATAATAGACTCAGAACCTTTCTAACTTTGTATCAAAATTAAAAGACAACGAAAGTAATTGTCTTGTCTTAAAAGATATGGCGTTGGTAAATAGAATATGGTTATATAGTTTATTTTAAATTCTTAAAAAATTTGGTTAATTTAAAGGTCCTAAATCTTATGGAGATAATTAAATAGCTTTTTTGTCTAGGGTGAACTCTAATTTTAAAAGGGTAAAAAAAACGAACACATTTCGCCAAGGGCCTTTGTGCTTTCAATATAGTATAATTTTTTAAGTGTAAGATTTACATACAATAAACTCTTAATATTTTTTAAAGGTTTTGGATTTTTTACATAATTTAAATAAGAAAAAATTAATAAGTAACATTTTAATTACTTTTAAACTCCTAAACATAGATTTGTATAAAATAAACTCTTAACAGATTTAAAATTGTAAATGATATGACTTTCTGCATAATTCAAATAAGAAAGATTTTAATGCGTAAAATTTTAATTCATTTAAACTGTTAAATATTAAAAAATAATTAATTGACTATTCAATAAATTATTTCTTATACTACTTGACACATACTCCAAGGACTGCAGTTTTTGTTTATTTATAACTGAGACAAAAAAAATCGTTAGTTTTAAGTTCCAATAATCTATTCTAGGAAAATATTAATTCATTGGTAGTAGTAGTATTTTATTGATATTGTAGAATTAAAAAATATATAATAGGTAATATATCTCTTGTTAATGAAATGAAACGTCGTTTTTTTTTAAGTGATTAATATAAGTAAAAGTTTAATTGATTTTAAAG